ACCAAATGGACAAGCACTCAAGTTCAACCTGTTTGCTCTTATTTGTTTTCTGAGAAGTACTAGTTTCAGCCAAGAGAAGATATTCCTCAGTGGAAGATCTGCAGGATACAGGTAAGCCAGCAGCTCTTTTTGCACATTAATTTTTACCACTTAGGCTGATATATTTATAGTATTAATTGTTTCCTATGCTGTGATTAATCAAACACATTGTGCATTATTACAGAGAAGTCCTATAAGACTTGCCTCCAGAGGGGAAACTGTCCAAAGCTTTTACTTTAGCACTTTTTCATTGGTCTCACTTGAAGGGAGTTTATCACAGCATAATACAACTTTAAAAGTTTCAAATCAGCTTATTTAGAGTCAGTTATATTCTAGACCCTGAATTAACCTTGCATCACAAGTTTGGCATAACAGTAGAGAGGTTTATAAACTGACAAAACCTATTTTACTCCTTAAATGCCTGCAGTGGTACCTTTTCCTACTGCTAATTGCTGATCTTATTTTGCACTCTGGTGTCAAATAGCACCTTTGGAACAAGAGAGTAACAGGAAAATTCTAGTAAATCATCAGGCCCTTACAAACCGTTAAGAAGTGCTTCAGGAACATAAGTACTGTGAAAAGAAAAAAATCTTTGTTCTTGCTTGACACTTCTCTATTTACTTTATTCTTTTTATGTAATGGTCACCATTTAATGAGCAATTATATACAATATTTACTTGAATGTAAAGTGATCTCAGTGACTCTAAAGCAAGCACTATTCTAAGGGCTGATCTATGAAACAAAGAGAAAATACTTCATCTCAAGGTCATGTTACAAGGAGAGCTTCAGTTATCAGACCTAAATTTAAAACCAGAATTCTTACAATACCTAACCACTTGCAAATTTATGATCATATGTGGCAGCTTTTTTTCAAACCTGTTCACTGTTCAAAATTTAAATGGTGTGCCAATACAATGTGTTTTAGTAGAATTTGTATAAATTAAATATAAACCACAGAACATGTCAGCTCTATCTTCAGTAGTTTCACCTAAGCACAATCAGGATAAGATGGAAGAGTAGATCTGTGTCTCCTTACTATTCTAAATATAAAACTCCTTTATCCCCTTTATTTCTCCCCCATTATTTTTCCTTTTATTTTATTGTCAATACAATTTTTACTAGCCCAGTACATTAAGTGGATTTGATACAAATTTTTTTTTTTTTAATAATATGTAACATATTGTGTTGATATTTAATCTTACTTTATTGAAAACCCCCCAGTATGTTTCTGGTAATCAAATGGAAGTATTAGGCCAGTTAGGAACTGGGGCATGTTTTCCTCTTGTCTCATTACAGTTTACAGTAAAATTGAAGCACCTTTATAGTCCCTAATCTAAACAGAGCAATCCCAATGTCATCAATAGTTACTCTGTATAAGAGAGTTTTGCATGAAAGAAAGAGCTGCATCCACCTTCACCACACAGCTTGGGAAAATAGTTTAACAAAGCAACAGACACAAAGATGGACTTGACAACACAAAACATATTCTGCTATTTCAGCTAATCAAGTTCAGCTTGAGTCCAAAGAGAAGGGCCATAGAAAGTAAAATTTGAGATAAGTAGCTTGATTATTCTTGACAATCTGAGCCAGAACCTACCAGCAGAGAACCTCCTGAGCAGGAGCTGGCACCTATAACTGATGATGCAAGACAATGGGACAAGAGAGCTACCAGAAAGGTTTAACGTTATATGCTTAGCGTTCTTTTCTTTGCTTTTTGATGATAAACTTAGTGCAGTTATCATAGCACAAAGACACAAGCAAATGTAGATAATATCTTTATCAGAAAAAAAAAAGGAATATTTGGAAAACAACCTCCTTTTCAGACATAACTCCTTTTTTGGGGCAGACTTTCTTCCGGACAAAGTGGTTGTGCAGTCAAAAGTATACCTATTGTTTCTAATTACGCTAGGTGGTCTTATAAGCAGTATTTTTGATAAAGCTTGCCTTTTCTGAGATCAGATCTTTACTAAGATATTCTTAATATCTTAGTAAGATATTCTGGTAGCAAAGGCCTGAGAGCTTCCTGTCTCTCATATGTAACCAGTTCTGCCATATGGAACCACACACCTCAAGTCTTTGAAGCCCAATCTTCTTCTTAACAGAATATAAAATCCATCACAAAGTTTATGCACACAGGCTGAGTGCATGTTTCAAGATGCGTATGTGCACGTAGGTACATATGAGCACCTTTTGAAATGGTAGCACTTCATTGAGAGAAAGGATTAGCATGAAGAGCCAACACAAGGAAAAATGTGTCTATGAAATCCTCAAAGTTGGTGTTGTAATAAATGTTTTAGGCAATGTCACTCTAAAGGCTACATTGTACTGAACAAAAACTGGTTTGGGGCCAGGTAAAAGTTAAATATTTTTAGTTTAGTGAAAGCTTTTTGTCTCAAAATATCAACAGAAGGATGAATTGCAGAGGCAGTCGAGAAAAAAGGCATACTTAGGGAAAGTAATTTGAAAAGTACAATAAGGAAAGGATGATCCAAATTTCCATTTCAATAATTTTTAAACACCACCTCTCTTTTAAATGGAAAAGGACCATTAGTGATTTTGTTACTTAATAGGGCCAGAGATAAACTAGGCAAGTGATGTATCATCTCCTAGCCCTGCTGTCATCACTGATCTTAGTAGGCCATCTTCCATCCTACAGCCTTCTAGAGGAGCTGAGGGTCACCTCCTGGTGAGAGGTCTTGACATGCACATTAGATACATGTATTTAAAAATCAGCAGAAAAAATATATACAACTATTTTGTTGCTTTATGAGTCAGAAATGACAACTCTTTAGTAAATCATGTTATATGTCAATATAGCAAAAAATTAAAATACTTTGTTAAAGTAGGGTATAATTAAAATCTCTCAAACTCTGTAGATTTAGTAGAACAATATTTTGTGTATGTAATTTACCTGCTATATGGTTACTCCAAGGATGTAATTAGTCCAGTCTGTTACCTTTATCCTATAGATTTTACTTTGTGGCTTGGGAATGCTGATCGGTTAATACATTCTAATTTCATCTTTTTGACTGTACTCTGAAGGAAAGATTCCTTATCAACAATCTAGTGTCACACTAACTTTCTTTAACATCATTGTTACTATCTTATCTCCTTTGATGTCAATCTTTTCCCAGTTATATTTGTGAAGTTTGTATTGGGTCATAGAAATCAGAAAATTCTATGTATTAAGCGTACATAAAGTGCTACAGATTTATGAAGAAGGAATGTTTACAGATTATAATTTACTTTGCATTTACTTATTTGGGGCATAATTTTTAATTATTAGAAACCAATTATATTACAAATTTGCATGAATATTTTTTTTTTAGTCTTAAATATGAAAGTTTGTCTTTGGACATAATTTTTTTAATAGACTGTTCATTTTTCTACATACCACATATAGTATGCTATGTTCTAAAAATGGTATAGTGGAATGCAGAGAACTTTGTTTTGGGGAAATAATACATTTCTTTGGCTCTCTACAAAAAGCTTTATTCATCCCTCAGGTTCATGATCATTATCTGAGTATACCTTGACTTTCCTCTTAATTTAAAGAAGAACCACCTACTTTTCTCTTAATTTAAAAAAGAACCACCTACTGTAAATCACTGTTTTTTTGCTTACAGACACATCTGTAACTTGCAGATGTGCAGCCTTCTATATTAAAAAATGTACTAAGATTTCAGTTTCTAAAAAAGGTTATGAGGATTTAATTGGTTCATGACTGAAAATTAATACTGATTACAATACCAATAAGTTTTTCTTTGCTGTCAGGGTGAAATTCAGTCAGAGACAAAAATAGGAATGTTATTGAGATCTCAAGTTGTTGAAGCTGCTATGTCAGAACATCATGTATGCCAAAGCATCTTATTGGATCATCACACATGCTTAAGGAACATGTAACATGCATTCTCAGCTGCTAAATACAGATAATTATACAATGAATTCCAACAAAATATCTATTTTGTATCAGTTGGAAGCTCATGTCCATACCACATAAGCTCACGGAAAGGTGCCTCTGACCAAGAAGCATACTTACGGAAAAAAACAGTGAGTAAACATCTTACAAGGGGCCTTTTCATGCACAGTGTTTTATTAAAAGTCATGATACACAGCTAAGTGATACTCAAACATGCATATAGGCTACTATGCTTCTTTCTAGTGCAACTACTGCATTAAACTGAAAAGCTGTGTGTTGCCTCATGGAAAGCAATTTATATAGGGAGATGTTACAGTGCACATTACTGTACAGGGCATTACCACATTAGCCAGCCTTGCTTGACATCGCAGGCTCAGAATCAGTTGGGGCACAATATTCTGTAAGAGCTAGTGACTTTGGAGTGCTACATATGAGACACCTCAAACAGATCTGTCTTTCAGAACATATTAAATCTTTGCTATGAGCACACATTTTGGAAGACTGAAATGGACACACAAACATTGAGACCCAACAGAGTAGTCTTTTAGAAAACTTTGGCCTTCATGAACACTGATGTAATTCAGGATTAATGCCATTGAGCTGAAAAGATTACAATAACAAAAGAGCAATATGAGATTGGATTTAGGCTTCCAAAGCCTAAAATCTCCAATATATATATAAAGTGAAATAACTTACTCCAGCATTTGGAAAATGGGGCCTATTGAAAAACATGAAACCCCTAAAATGCTGTTTGAATGTGAGAAAAGTAATAGTTTAAAAAGCCAAGATGAAAATGCCAAAAGGAACAGAAAGGAGTGAGCCAGAAATGCTAACAGGTTCATTTCCACCCTGTCCGTGTGCTGGACGAGACCAACAGCTCCACTGACATCTCTGCGTATTAACTTAACGGGTAGTCTGTGACCTCAGTGACATCGGTGTCATCTCACAAAATAGAAATATGGATGTAAGATGAACTTAAAATAAGGCTCCTAACTAGAAAAAAATACCCATGCAGAAACATATGCATTATGATGATACCTACATTTAGCTGTGACTTTGTACCCTCCCAGGGGAGGGTCGTGGCCTTCCACAGCATCGAATCCTGCTGACACCAGGACAATCTCTGGATCAAACTCATTGGCAGCTGGCATAATCACAGTTCTGCAAAGTGAAAAAAATCCAACCTGTTAAAAATTAGAACTTCTACCTTCATGATATAAATTGCTACAATCTCAAAAATCCACAACACAAGATATTTTCTTTTAATTAAACCAATCTTCATGGTAGCTGTCCAAAACCAAATGAAGGTCAAGGCTTCAATTAATTTCTTTCTATAGTCACTGTTATTACTTTTCTACAATTGAGGGGGAGACAAATGCAGGTACATGTGAAAGTCTCTAATGTTACACACACATCTGTGCCTGTTTTATCCTGCTGCCTATAAAAAAAAGCTGCCTCTTCCAGGGAAGTGACTAATAGTTTACAGAGAGCACTCAAAGCTTGAGTGGAAACTCGGACTGCTCCAGTTAGTGTGAACTTGGTGTAAATTTGAACTATAAATTTCTTTTGGGAAAATGTTTGCTTTCCAAACTTTTTTTTTTTTCCTTAATATTTTTAAATGTTTGTCGAGGTGGGGGGTGACTCTAGCAAAGGAAAAACATGAAATTCCCTTAATCAAGTCCAGACTATGTTGTCAAGCCTTTCCAAGGTCAAGCATAACAGGAATGTGACAACCACAAACTAGTGACAGCAACCCCTGCTGGTGTCAGAAAGATAATTCAGCCCTTCACAGTCAAAGATTCCACTTTTTTAACCCCTTCTTTGGCAAACTTCCATGGGGATGTTTTGTTGCTTTGTTTTCACTCTTTTCCAAACTCAAGGCTTTAAAGATGTGGTGAAAGAGACAATAAAACCCTGCATTCTGCACTTGTAGATGCTTTTTTTCAGGCTGGCTTTTCCAAGGGAAGGTGTCAAGATGGTTTTTGTACTAGTGTGACAAACACTGAGCCTGTAATGGCTGTGCTAATTCAGAGAGGCATTGCTATTATTAAAAGGCAAATAGGAAAACGAATATTCTGTTCCAAATTAACTCAGGGAAATCCCAATTGGTCTACACAGGTCAAAATCAGAAAATCAATTTTGCACATATGTAATACTGTTTGTCTTAGTTCAATATTTATTAATTGATTATTTAATCAACTTATGCTAAAAAGTCATGTTTCTGTTGAAAGATTAAGGTTGGGGGGGGGGTGGAGGGAGGAGGAAGACAAGCATATTAATAATGTTTTAAAAATTCCTTAGGTTTTTCTTTAGTTTTTCATCTGTGTTTTATAATCTTTATTTTGTTCAAAGGTAATTTTAATACAGGAAAATGTTCCTACTATTACTTTGACTTGCAAGTCAGAGAAAAGGAGAATTCAGACTAACTAGAAGGTCTTTGTCAATGCATACAGCATTTCAATGAGTATCTTTTTACATAAGGAAAAAAGGACTTAGGCAACTTCATTTTTTCTTTGGTGATTTCACTAAAATTGCACCATGAATGTCTGCAGACCAAGTGTTAAAATTTGTGGAAGAGTCTTTTTATTTTTACATGTCATTGGTAAGCCTCTTATGAAGTACGGATTCCAGTATTGAGCATTGCACTTAAAGAAGGACTTAGACCAACTTGGGAGAACAAAAAGAAGGAATAAAATTCTAAAAGATGGGACCTAAGTGAATAAAATAATAGAATTATTATTATTTGGTTCAAATAACATGAGACGAAACATGCTAAAAGTCTGTAAATATGTAAGTGGTTGCAAGAGGAAAAAAATAACCTGTTCTGCATTTCCACCTTGGATAGGACATGAAGTAGTTGCATCAGGAAAGCTGCAGCTCAGGCACTGGAAAAAGCTTTTTTAAGAGTAAGGCTGGATAATCATTCAAATAAAATATTTAATAAAATTGGAGACTGAGAATTTTTTTATAAAATGTAAAGCAAATATCCATCAAGATTGCTACAGATTGAACATGACATGGCCTTGAGGCAGCAGGTCAGATTACTTCTCTTCTAGGCCTTTTCCTATAGTTCCATAATGTATAACACACAAAGTACGTATATGAATAATTACACTAGACACTATAGCGACTGAACATTTTTGCAAGTTAATCTCCACAAAGTTAGGGAACAATATCAGGAATAAAGATCCATGCAACCACATCTTATCTTTCTTATGTACATACCTTCTGATACTCAATTAGAGTATCTTCAATTTCTGAAGCAACACATATTTCCCAGACTTCCCCACATTTGCAATGCATGTGGCAAGGATCCTGATTAGTGATGAGGACTGTGGCTGATACGCAACCTTGATCTGCCCTCATAACACCATATATCTTATACACTGAAAGAAGGAGGGATCCTATAGAGAACCCTCCCTATCTTCAGCTACTTGAGCTTTTGCCCTCCTCCTCTCCATTCACATTTTCTCAAATTCAAGTCAGGATCTGTTTTTTGTTTCTTCATGTCAAACAAAGTGGCAGCACTATGGAGTATAACACAGACAATGCTCAGGAGCAACAGGATGGAGTGTGTTCAGTGCAGACAGAAGCTGTGGAAATTCAAGTTGCTGAGCGGTAACAAACCGAACCAGGCTAGCAGAGAATAAGATTTCTAAGAGGCTTATAATTTGCAGCATTGGGAAAATCTACCACATTTCTACTACATTTCACTACCTTGCTCCAAAGCATAAAGATGTCAGCACATTTTTTTATACCTTGGGCAAAAGAGTGCATTTGACCCTTAATTTCATTCTTAGAAGCAGCAAAAATGGTTTAGTCACTTTCTTCAAAAATTTTTTTTCAAATAAGTATGTCTGACACGAAAAACACCAGCTACACTGGATAATGTTAGTAAAATTATTAAATACTGAAAGAAAGGTCTTTCGACACAAAGCACTAGGTATAGCTATTAACACCATCTTTAATAGTACTGAACAGGAAATAATAGCGTATACAGCTTAAGGGGGGAGTGAGAGAGCAGCTGCGTGGCTGACTGAGCTTAAACCACAACAAGTCATCTTCACTGAAATTATATTTAGGAATCCCAGTTAAAGGAATAAGGCTATAAGGATAATAACCAGACGTGGCATTTAGAACTTGCTGTTCTGTTACTGCTTTCTGTATTACCTGAATCTACATGACTAAAATAAAACATAAGAGGGATTTTCCAAAAGAAAGATTTTTTTCTTTTAAAACTTTACAATGTCTGTTATATTTCACCAGAAGAATAGCACCCTACTTTTGCTAGACTACTGTCTCACAAATTATGACAGAACTTCACTGCTGCTACCCTGTATACTAAATATCAGAAGTAACCTATGTGTCCATAAGACCTGTTTCTTTGTTTATTTCTCTTTCATCCTCCATAATATTGAGGGACTTGGAATGCCAGAGCTCATCCATCTTACACTGTTCTTGATGTAATACTGAACAGAAACTCTAAGGGCTTCTCAGACATTATGGAATATGTAATCTGTTTACAAGGATGGCAAGCTTGACTCCTTTAAAAGATATCAGGGTGTCTGCAGTCCTGGTTACAGCAGCCAATACTACTTGGTCTTTCAGAAAGTTGACACAGAAGACCATATAGTCATTTAGTTCTTAAATCCCTAATCCAGTCTTCTTCTACATTAGACAGCAGTCATTTAAGGTTGCTCCTTCTTTGAGTAACTACTATTAGGTCTCTGCTCAGAGAAGAGCAACTTAATGTCTGGAAAACATCATAGCATTTTATTTTGGACATCGTGTAGGTAAGACCTCTCTAACCTTTGTCTTGCTTTGGCTGGAACTCCTTTGTGGCACAAAACACATATTAAATTCCTTCACAGAAGTGATACTTTCTTATCTTATGAAGTGCCATGAGGAATCATATACATACATTTTAAAATATGGACTAAATTTCACCAGGAAATAAAGAAAACCTTTTGGCATTTGCCATCTCTCAGGCTTCAGTGCCCTTATTATCCCTGAAAAACTGTCTTTAGAAAAATGCTTTGAGGCTTGCAGCTGTAAAGAAAGCCTACACAAAGCACTAGATTCCATCTTTTCTTTTTTACCCAAAAGCAATGTGAAACTCACTTCTCCCTCTTAAACAGGATTCTCCTGCCTCAGGAGAGTGAGAACTGCTGGAGAGGCAGAGACAGCTCCTGACCTTTCACTGTCTCTTGGGAGAATAGAATCATCAGATCCTGCTTCTTGCTCATTTCCCATCTCATCTACACTCTGCGTGGCACAGCAAAGTGTAAGAAAGAGAAATGATCCATTGACTGACTCTTCAGGATCTCCATAACCATAGCACATACCTTCTGAATTGTCTAAGTACAGAATCCTCTGAATTAGATCATAACAGAAAATATGCCTTTTATTTAAAAAAAAAAAAAACAAAAACCAAAACAAAACAAAAACCCACCACAGAACTACCATTGATCCTACACTACTAGATATTCATGTTAGCCATCCCAAACTCCTCAGACCAACCCTATGCTCAGAAATCAGGCTGTAGCTGGCAGGATTTGTTACGGTGCGAAGGGTCAAACCTGCTCATCAGCAGCCCTTTGCAAACTTGCATAGGCAGCCTGTGTTCAGACATAGGTAGGAACAGTTGTTGTCTTACCCACAGCATGAGTAAGAAATATGATTTGGCTTTTGGCCATAGGTCAACAGTCAGATATGGACTGGGGACTGCAAGCCATCAGCTACCTGCTTGAAGCCAGTTGGGCTGCAGGGGTTATCAGCAAACAGAAGTTAATGCTAGGATCCTTTTCTGACAAATGAGTAATTTTTGTCAGAATATAAGTGAATTTTATTCTTCCACTATGAGTATCACTCTTCCTTACTCCTCCAAAGAAAACAAAATAAAGAGATATTTATTTTCTGTGATCCTGAATCTTACAAAAGCATAAATATTTGGTATACTGTATTCACCTAACAATGACAGCAAAGTTACAGGGGCATCCTGCCTGCCTGATTGTTTCTTTTCTCTCACGTTTTCATTAATAAGCATGTCAAAGCCTGAAAGCTTGAGCAGCTGGATCACAGGAATTATTTATCCATGCTAAACCTTGCAGTTACAATGAAACTGTGTCCTCCAGCTCAAGGCAGCGTGAATCTTCCTTTAA